AATTCGAGCAAAGGAAGAGTTGCAAGCGATGGTTTGTATTTTCATTAGTTTCCAGCAAGTGGTTTTATTACATGAAGTTTACAGCAGCGCTGGTACTCTCCTCAAGCCTGCAAATGCCCTGTACTTAATGGAACTGTGCTTCTTATGGATTCAGCGGGATGGAAGGGCCGGGAAGGACTGTATTGTGGATGACAGAAAAGTCAGAGTTCTTTCTCTAAATCTCGACATCCTTAGAAGTTAAAATACTTAAGAGAACGGTGAAGGAAGCGTTGGAGGAGGTCGTGGAGAGGACGTGACCTCCGGGGACCCAAGGGCTGACCCGGCGATAGGAGGCTCCTCCCTGCTCCCTGCTCTTGGAATGTCCGCTCCGCCCACCGTCCCCATCCCCGGAGCGGTTCACGGATGCGGCCTTGAGAGAGCAACGTGTCGTCGAGACCGTCTGCGTGGTGAGGGCGACTGAGCCCCGTGAAGGCCGATGTAAACTGTCAGGTTCTGGTGCGCGGGGGCAGAGATCTGCTCCTCTGACGCCCCGAGACAGGCCTCTAGTCTGTCCTCTGCTGCTTTCACCTGCCACCTCCCAACCTGGGGCGGGGGGCTGCCTCTTTCTTACTCTCTCCCCGCCCTGCGTGCACGGGGGCCCGGTCAAACTTCATCCCGGAACCCCGCAAGGTTGCGAACCAACAGGCATGCCAAGATTAAGTAATAAATGCAGTGCAGTCTAAAATGAGATTATGTTTTTTAAAGATTTTATTTTTTTCTTTTTTCTCCCCAAAGTCCCCCAGTAAGTAGTTGTATATTCTTAGCTGTGGGTCCTTCTAGTTGTGGCATGTGGGACGCCGCCTCAGCGTGGTTTGATGAGCAGTGCCATGTCGGCGCCCAGGATTCGAACCCAGGAAACACTGGGCCGCCTGCAGCACAGCGCGCGAACTTAACCACTCGGCCACCGGCTGGCCCCTAAAATGAGCTTTTTTTTAAGATTTAGATTTTGTTGCCGCTTCATGGAATTATAAATGGTACGTTATGGATTGTTATGCTCTTCTTTGTTATATATCCAGTTCCTGGAGGCGTGCTTCTTCCTCTTGGTCAGATGAACCTTTTTAGGCAACTGGGGGCACTAAGCTGAAAAATGGGGCAAGGGCGGGATTCCTCTTTTAAACTTCTTGTCTAAGTGCTTTTAAAAATCTGATTTCATTTCGTAGAAGCATGGTCACTTCATCTGTGCCCTAAGCATAGTGTTACTTAATTGGGTAGTGACTCCCCTCTTTCAAAACAATTAATAGACTATTTTTCTTAAAAGCAGTTTTAGGTTTACAGAAAAATTGTGAGAAAGTACAGAAAACTCCCGTATATCCCCTCCCAGTTTTCCTATGATTAATACCTTGCATTAGAGTGTTACATCTGTTATAATTGATGAGCCAGTATTGGTGTGTTATTATTGACTGAAGTCCAGCGTTGACAGTAGGGTTCGCTCTTGTTGTACATTCTGTAGGTTTTGATAAACGGACAATGACATGTGTCCACCATTATTGCATCATACAGAATAGTTTCACTGCCCTAAAACTCCTTTGTGCTCCCCTCTTGGTCTCTCCCCCCTCCAACCCCTGGACCACTGATCTTTTTACTGTCTCTGTAGTTTTGCCTTTTCCAGAATGTCAGATAGTCGGACTCATACTATGTATGACCTTTCAAACTGGCTTCTTTCACTTAGCAATATGCATTTCTGATTCCCTCACGTCTTTAGTGGCTTGCTGTTTCATTTCATTTTATTCCTGAATGATATTCCATTGTATGGATGTACCATAGTTTGTTATGCATTCCTCTTTTAAAGGACTTCTTGTTGCTTCGAACTTTTGGCAATTATGATAAAGCTGCAATAAATATTCATGTGTAGGGTTTTTTATGGACATAAGTTTTCAGCTCTTTTTGGTAAACACCAAGGAGCCCAAGTGCCCTCCTTTTTCAGTACCACTTTTACATCTGCTCTTCACACCTGGATAAATGTAGCTTGCTCTTCGTAGCTAACTCCCGTGCCCGGGGCCTTCCTCTTCCTAATTTCTTCCCCTTAATACCATTTCACTTTCTGCCACATAGTAATCACGAAGAATGCCAGACACACGTCAACCACTTTCTCTCTGGAAGTGTTTTCAAACCTTGTAGGACCTGCCTTGATACACTTGATACTCATTGAGAGAAGCGGCTGGGGAAATGGCCCATGTATGTTTCTGCGGGGGCAAGTGAAGTCCTGGCAGTCACTCCCACCGAAACGCACTGCCTGTCACTGCTGGTTCCTGCGGGCATGTCCATATGTGCAGTATAAGTTTTGCTCTATCTTTTGATGATGCCCCAGTCTGTCCATTCTGATCAAAAACACTATCTAAAGAGGAGAGAATAATGACTTCAGAGCTCATATCCTCCATAAATGTGTGTGATGTTGGGAAAACTTCTCGGCCTTTCTGATCTTCAGTGTCATTGTTTGTGAAATGGGGCAGTAATGTCCACCTTGCAAGGTGGCCTTGAGGTTTGGAGGTGATATGAATAAGGCATCTACTTGCTACACACCTGGCATGTTGGGAGCAGTCTGTTGATGGTGTGGTGGTGGTGATGCTTGATAGCCGCTGGGTGTACAGCAGATCTGTAGCCTGAGAGAATCAGGTGCTTTGTGCCTCAGTAAGGAAATTTTATCTGAAAAGTTAGAATGGTGACAGCACACACAAACAAGTCTCCCAATAACGTCCCTTCTGCTCCTGATGTTCGCTCACACATAAAAGCATTCAGAGCCGTCTCCCTGCCGTCTAATTCTCTTACTGACCTGCCAGCAGGGTTCCCTCCCATCCAGCTGTGTCCCCTCAGGAGCTAAGGATCTAATAAATAAGCAACTATTTTTCCGTCCCGTTACACATCCTGTTGTCGACTTGGCCTTCGTCCTTCTCCATGCCTGTCTGAGGCTTCCTAGTTACTCCATGAAGTTTGTTGCTGTCGCCCCTTCTTTCCTGACACCCCCAGAATGGCTGGGGACTGGCCGTTCATTAGCTTACACTCAGAAGCTCTTCTTGGTTGTCGTGGTTAACGGCCTGAGCAAGCTCTTGAACTTAGGGACTATTTCTTGTCCTCCATACAGTGCCTTTCACATACAGCTATCTAGTTAATCAATGAATTAGTTACTTTGACTCAATCCCAGAAACTAAAAGGCATTAGGCAACTCAAACTCCTAAAGGTACAATAGATTTCTGAGCACCTTTAAAATAGGGAGGCTGTTCATTTGCTCAGGAGAGGTTCAATTTTATATGGAAGTAAGAATGTGGACTTATTAAGTATCTCTGGAAGTCCTTTCTAGGTGGGTAACCCTCTCCTAGGATTTTGCTCTCCAGGCAGCCCTAGATTGTCTGTGGGTTGGCTGGGATTGGTCTTTAACATGGTCGCCAGTCTCGGCATCTACAGGTTGACTCCATCATCTCCTAAGAGGTTTATGCTGAATTTTAATGACAACATTAGCCCAGGTGACATATAATTAGAAAGCAAGCCCTTTTAAAACCAAAAATACTTTGAGAGATTCCAAATCCAGATAGAATTCAGTTGTGGATTATTTCATATTTGTGTTCATGTCATTCTCCTCACTCCCCTCCTTGAATGCAGCTTGATGCTGGACGGTCCTCTGAGCTTCTCCTATGCTGTCACCTGTGACACTGGCAACGCGTTTGCTGAAGGGGACGCTTGTTAGCAAGGTTAGTGACTTAGTGCAGGGTATTTGAGGCACACTCACTCTGAGTGCTGAGTCTGAGTGAGTCCAGAAAGCAATGGAATATTCCATATACCCCCCACATGACTCCTACTGCCTCCAGGCTCTGTTTCTCCAAATAAGGGGTCAGAGCTACCCGGCAGAGGCCAGCTGAAGTCAGAGAAATCCTGACTTTAGCTGTTTCAGAAAAGTGGCCCAGTGTTTGAGGAATGATGAGGACATAATTAAATATGATTCAAAGGGTTGGAGTGGTTGCCATTCTCCCTGTGACGGGTGTTCACTTGTGTGACTTAGTTTTGTGACTGTTGCTTTATCAACATTTTGGCTAGCACTTGGAACACTACCTCTGGGCAACTTCAGTGAAGGTTGTTTTCCAGGATGAAGTAAACAGGCTGAAATTTCCACTGTTCATCAAATCTGATGTGAATGGTCAGCCTGAGCTGGATATTTCTGGTGTACTCCTGAAGAAGTCACTGCTGTTGCTCCAAGGAGAAAGTGGTGGAGGAGACAGCTAACCTGTACCTCAAGCTTTTATTTTCTGTCAGTGATATGTGCAAAGATAGTCTGATCTGTCTGAGAAGGAACGGCTCTCAGCGGTGCTGGCTTTCCAGTGCTCCCCAGACTGTGCACAGTCAGCTTATTGTTGCCAGCACGGCTCTATGATAACAATCACTCCTTTCTCTGCGCTCCTGGCCCCTCACCATGTTTTATTACGCTCCCGCTGAAAGAAAAGGTGTCTGTGCGTTCTCTATCTCTTCATTTGGCTCCAGGGATTTCCCTTTGATTTGGAAAGAATAATTTTTCAAATTCCGCTATAAAATATACAGGAGAGAGAAAAAGAGATTAAGCTCCAGGAATGTGCACAGGTGTTGATGTTTTGTTCAAATAATGAGCTTGCGGTAAATTTTCTTTAGTATTGCTCGTGTGAATGGTCAATTCTTATAAGTCTTGTAAGCAGTGCTGTTCACCATTGATTTACACGGCCTGGTTTAACTTTGTCTTCAGCCTTCGAGATGTGAAAACGTTGCCAATATTCAGCAGGTGCCTCCAAGATACCAGGAGCAGCATGACAGCCCCTAATTTGCTCTTGCCCTGGTCTGCCTGGAATATTGATGGGGAGCAGCCAGCTATCTCCTGGTGGGCAGCTGTCTCTGCTTTCCTGTGGCATGGGATTGTCCACATTTGCATTTGCAAACAGAGGCTTGCTCAAGTGTCACTGAAGAGAGGAGGTGGAGCCAAAAGGGCTTTAAAAAGGAAAAGGAGTCGTTCTACCTTTCAGAAAGGGAAACCGTGTTTGGGGAGGAATTGTATCTCCCTATTTTTTCTTTCAGCCTTGTCCAAGGGTCGTGGCTGGAACTTTCCATCAATTCTTTCCTTTCTTTTTTCTCTCTAGCGTTTGCCTGGCCGCTGTGCCTGTCACAGTGAAGTCAGCTGCAGGCCTCCAGAGCGTGGCTGTTAAACTGAGAAATTTGTCCTGAGGGTGTCAGGTATTTCTTCCTGGCTTCCCCAAAACTTAGCCACAGGAGTCTTTCTGGGGGTGTCCCTTTCAGGCTGCATTTGGACGCTGCCTTAAGTTGCAGGAGAAGGAGCTGGAGGAAAACAACAGCAAAGCAGCAGAGTGAGAGATGCCCCAGGGCCGCAGGCCGACCTGGGGGGACACGCTGGGGGTCAGACACGCCCCCCTTGGTGGGGCTGTGCTCAAGCAAAGTCAGCGTGCTTTGGATTGAAAGTTCAGGGCCTTCAAGATTATGCTGCTCTTCCTTAGCACTCTGTTGCCAGCAGTTTTTGCAGCTGCTTTCGTTAGCGTCTCCGCACGGCCGCGCTGGGACTGTCCTGCAGGCCCTCCCTCGGGAAAGGGGCATTCTCCCTGTGTGGGTAAGTAATCCCCTTAAAAGGAGGGCACATCTTCCTGGAAACTGCCCCTGGATGCCTGCTCGTTCCGTCTTGTGCACTTCAGCTCTTTCCTTTCTGATGTGTCTTTGAGTGTGTCTATTTGCTTAATTCTCATTCTCCGATGCATGTACATTTGGGCTGTTTCAGCTGATCTGCTGCCAGCTATGGAACGTCAGGGCTCTCAGTCTGTTCCTCCGCGCGGGCGGGCATGTGCTCCCTTCTTCACTAGCCCTGTGCTGCTTTTCACGGAAACCTCCGTCTTTATTCTGACGTGAGGAGTAACTGAACACTTAGTTGATCGGCTTTATATTGGAAACTGGGAAACAGATGGCTTTCTTCTTTTTGAAATTGTCTCTATATAAGCCATAAAGAAAAAAAAATCCTTCCTTCTAATAACTTGGAGTAAGAAATCAGAAGTTGCTAAAAAATCTGTCAAAAATGGGAAGGGAGTTGGGAACAAATGTGGTTCCATCACTGTGAAGGGAAGTTTCAGGTTAAACCTCCTCCCCTTTCTCCGCTCTCCCTTGCTTCTGAAGCTCTGACAGCTCTGGGTCTTTTTTGTAGCAGGTGCATTGTAACTTTGAGAACTGCTAAGAAATGACAATGAGAAAGCGTGCCATGCCCCCTCCCATAGTAAATGGGTTTTTATTCAAGGGAAACAGGACTTTTACTGAATGCAAATAACAATCCTTCCTAAGGACTTTGCCATAAGAACGTCACTCCCTCCCTCCCTCTGTCTCTCTCACTGTTGATTCATTTTATTCATTTCTTGGCTAGGTCTCTGACCTGCTGCTCCAGCAAGGCAGCCATTTCCATCCGTTAGAGGCATGAACTGCCCTAACTTTCCTTTCCTGTCTTCTTGCCCTTTTGAAAAGGGATCTGACTCCCCAAAAGAGGTAGATTGAGGGAAATACAGTGAAATTTCCAGGAGAGAAACCTCTGGACGACAGCACAAAACAGTGGAAATAAAGGGAATAGTCAGAGCCAGTTTGCTGACGGCAGGCGCCCGCCTGGCTCTCCCGGTGAGGACGTTAGGGACGATGACGTGGCGCCCTTGCTCAGCATCTCAGGACTGTCTCCAGGCGGCACTCACTGCAACAGGCGAGCAGAACCTCAGGTGTTAGAACGAAGGACTGATGCTAGTTGTCTCTATGTTCCCAGCACCTGGAAATTCTTGCTTTCATAGGATGCACTCTGTAAATTCTTGCTGACCTGCTGATCACATAATCTTAGAGAACAGCAACAGAAAGGGGTGACAAAGGACAAAAATGACCCCATGACCCTGTTACTCAGCTGTTGGAGGCAGAAGTAAAAGTTTTTGGACACAGTTACGTGGAATGGATGGGAGCCTCTCTGGGGTCAGAGAATTTTCCCAAGAGTAGTTGGCAAGTGACCAGAGTCAGGCACTGCCACCTGCATGAGACGAGAGGGGAGATGTGGGAGCCATTCAAGAAGCAGAGCCCAAGAGAGCAAAAAACTGGCAGAAATGAACTTGAGAGCACTGCGTCAGAGTCTCAGGGAACAACACGATTCTCGCTAGCAAGCGAGCCTGTGCCCGTGTTCCTTGGCACCCCTGCTGGTGCTCAGAAGTGCCTTTACCGAGGCTGGCTGCACCAAGTAAACTTGAAGCCCAGGATAGAGAGTTCGGGGGACTGTGACACAGAGTGGAAGGAGCACAGGTGTTAGAAGCAAACACACCTCGTTTCAAATCCATGCTGCCTACTTAATACTTGAGCTATGTTGGAATATTGCAGAGAAATAATGGTACCCCCTGTCAGGATCGTTGTGGGGAATACGTGAGGTGACACATGAAATGCACCTGGCACACGTGTCCTCTTGGCTACATCTCTTTGATCAGATCGCACCATGAGATGCCTTATTTGCACAGTGCAGTGACATGGCACAGACCCCACACAGTGTGGAACGTCTGGATGCCACTTTGTGACTCTGCCTCTTTGCTCCCTGGTTCCTTGCAAGGCACTCCCTGCTTTACACTCCCGTCTCATGTTAGCTGATAACTGCCTGGGTCACACCCTGTGCCCTCTGCATTTCAGAGGATAGTGTTTCTCCTCTCTAAATAGATTTGGTGCCATCATCTATTTTTTCCCCCAATTAAGTTCTACTTGCTTTATTTTTCGCCCTTGGCATTGAGACAGACCACCACTGGCCAGCCTGGCCCGGCAGGAAGAAAGCTTTGTGGTCTGACAAGATTCAGGTAACTTGACCCAAGATTGTCGCTCATGTGACTGCTGGTCAGACAACTGCACAGAATTGGGTGTTCTTTTCATTTCCCCCTCCCCCGCCCTGCCTGCCTTTTTCTTTCTTTTTTTGATCAGCTGCATATTCTGTTAGCTTCTGTCTGAGCTACAGTAGGTCAGGAGAGCAAGGAGAAAACTGCTGGCAGGTGGCTTCTGAACTTTGAAGCCTCTTTGCCCTGCAGGAGAAATATCCGTTGAACAAAGGAACTGTTCCTGTTTGCTGTCTGGAGCTGCGTTATTTGTATGAACTTTCTTGGTAAATAAAGAGTAGGGAAGAAGGACAAGCCAGGCCTCTGAGAGCTGGCTGCACGAGGGGTCCTGGGCACTAAGGGAGCCAACAGGGGATCACTTTCAGCAGTAAACAGTGAAATCACTGATTTCAGCACCGGCTAAGGCTTGGTCAGCTTCCCAGTCATGTGCAAACCAGAGTAATTCCATGATCAGAATCCTGTTTGTTTTTTCAGCCAGAGCAAAAGTTTTTTTTTTAATCTAACTGCAAAGAAATTACAGAAACGATCTTTTATGCACACCACGTGGATGAAACCACCCCTCTGTACCGAGGGGTTTGTGGTCTTCAAGGGGCAGTTAAACTTAGTGGTAAAGAGCTTAAGTTTGGAGACAGGTCTGGGTTCTAATCCCAGGCCTGCTGCTTGTGAACCATGTGTCTCATTTTCCTCGCTGGGAAATAAAGATAGGTACTCCTTTCTCCCAGGATTGTTCTTGGGATTGTGTTCAAGTGTCCATCAGAATCGCCAATGTCGGGGCTAGCACCCAGTGCATCTGGGTCAGGGTCTCGTCTAGGGGTGCAATCCGGGCATTGTGGTCTTTGTCACTTTCCCTTGGTGCTTCTCATGGGCATAATGGGCAGCCCAGGTGTGGAACCGCTAAGTTAATACGTGGGAGGTGCACAGATGAGAGCTGGCATGTAGTCGGCACTCAGTAAGTCTTAGCTGCTATTAATATTTTTATCATTGTTAAAATTACTTTTATTCGTGGTAATAGTAATATTTTCTAAATGTGTCTTGGTTTTGTCTATAATAATTGAATATTTTTTTACACATGGAAAAATGCCACATTGAGAAACCTAATGGTAGTTTTACAACACTAAAAATTGCAGACAAGGGGCTGGCCCCGTGGCCGAGTGGTTAAGTTCGCACGCTCCGCTGCAGGTGGCCCAGTGTTTCCTTGGTTTGAATCCTGGGCGCGGACATGGCACTGCTCATCAAACCACGCTGAGGCGGCGTCCCACATGCCACAGCTAGAAGGACCCACAACGAAAAATATCCAACTATGTACCGGGGGGCTTTGGGGAGAAAAAGGAAAAAAATAAAATCTTTAAAAAAAAAAATTGCAGACAAAATAATGTCAACATACGTAACTTGTATTTTTGTCCTCAGAAGAAATGTTTATTAAAAATACAAAAACATATGGAACTGGTTTGAGTGAGTGCCCTTGTGCAACTGTGGCTCCAATGTTTGTTTTTCTGTGACATCAACTGATAAAAAATTCCACTGAGTGCAAATTAAATCTGCTTGTTAGATTTCTTACCAGTATTAATTTTATTTAATGACAACAGCAAAAACAAGCCACTTGAAACTGATAAGATTATTTAAATTTCTTGTGTATTTTTCCTTATGTTTGGAACCAATTTCTCTAAGATATTTTTTTGAGGAAGATTAGCCCTGAGCTAACATTTGCTGTCAATCCTCCTCCTTTTGCTAAGGAAGATTGGCCCTGTGCTAACATCCGTGCCCATTTTCCTCTATTTTCTATGTGGGATGCCACCACAGCGTGGCTTGGTAAGCGGTGCATAGATCTGCACCTGGGATCTGAACCTGTGGACCCCGGGCTGCTGAAGTGGAGTGTGTGAACTTAAGTGCTGTGCCACCAGGCTGGCCCCATCTCTAAGATTTTTAAAGCTGTTTAGGGCTCAAAAAGGAATGATAAATTAGTTCTTTAGATGAATTTACATTTTTGGGGTAATTAGGGGTTGTCCAAATATTTGACATTCACTTTAGAAGTTGGAAGGTGGGAATTATTTGCTTGTGTTCAGAGTAGAGCAAGTAGTTGATCGTTTTCCATCCAAAGTAAATGGGTTAGTAATTTGGCTCAAGTAAACTCAAAATCTTATTTACTATCTATAAATTTGCACCTGATAATCCATTTGAAATAATTGCTTGTTTAGTATGAATAGTCGGGGTTTTTTAATGTCAGTAGTCGCCAAATTCCATTCCATTTGTAAAAAAATTAACACGTGGGCATATGTTTCCAATATGTGTTTATTTATTTATCAGTTACTTACATGCTATATATACTAATATTATGGACTTTATACTACACACAATATTTCTAATATTTTCTTTCGACACAATCACGAGCCATCTCACAGTCTCTAAGTGGTACCCATCCTCCTTGGGAAGACCGTTTTAGAGAAGCGGTACACTGATGGAGTAAATGCTTTATCTTTCTTTGCTATTAGCTCAGCTCCTTTCACTTAAGCATGAAGAAATAAGAAAGAGGTTTGCTAATTTTTTTTTTCAAGTAAAGGGGAGTTATTCATAGTGAATGACTTTTCTCAGAGTGTGTAATGGTAGAAATAAAATTTGCTCCCTAAGTTGGCTAACAGTGCCCCAGGATCGCTCCTGCAGTAGGGTTATGCTGAAATTCTTCCATTAAGACCAGAAGGCTGGACCACATCCCTAAGGATGGGCTGGAGTTTCAGAA